GTAGGCACCTGAATAGCAAAATACATAAGCAGAAGATGGAAGAAATACTACGAGAAAGAGAGACTATGAAAGCGATGAATAAAACCGATAAATTGAGAGAGCTAGATGGGAGATTGGAAAACGTAATTGTTAGTTTTAGGATTTTAGAGGGGGTTTAGGAGAAATAGTTTTCATAATATTTAATTATGAAAATTAAATAAGGAACACGCCGGGGTTCGCGGGTAGGGGTTTGGGTAAGATTTTGGGTTAGGGGGCTTTGGTTGGTGGGTTTTTTTGGGTAAGGGTTTTGGTAAGAATGGTGTTAGGAGAAGTGTTAAGGTCTTTTGGGCGGTGTGGTTGTAGGATTGTGGGTTAGAATGGTTATCGGTGATATGGTGGGACGGTAGTCCGCGAACCTAGGCGTGTGTATGTCTAGCTCCTTAAACCCTGAACCCTAGCTGCCCAAACTCCCAAAACCCTAAACCAGCAACCCCGAGCCCAGGCAGAGTCGTTGCGCACCTGGCGGTTGCTGCTTCGCCGCGCGACGGGCTTCGAAGCCGAGTTCTTCTGAGCGATGCGTTGCTACAACATGCCTCGTAACCCTATTCCAGTGCAGGTCCTAGTGCCACCGGTTTCGTTCTGACCTGCCATAGCGCAGATGGCGGTAGTCCAGAGCCGAAAAACAAACACAACGGCCCGACAACCCCGCAGCCTTTTTCCAGACCGGTGCCCCAATTTCGGAAGTTGATGGGTTGAGGAGTACAGGCATATTAAACATCACGAAGCCTTAAACCCTAAATCCTAAATCAACCCTAAATATAGGCCGGGCTTGTGACGTTAGGGCTCGTCTTTAACATTAAAGTTTCTCTATGGTCGTTCCCTGAGTCCAGAAATCCGCAGCTTGAAATTGATAGGGCCCGCTCAGCTACTGGTAGGAAGTGTGTGGCGCCCTGTGCAGGACTCCCTAAACCCTAAACTCCCTAAACCCGCTGTCAGGAAGGTTTGGACTTGGCTTCCGCAGCTCTCGAGCCTCTGGCAACAGTGGGTTTCACTCCCCTGTAGCCTCGCAAAACGAGGGTATGTGGCGACTTTGGCTACTGCTCCTGGCGGCCGGACGTGGCAGCTCCGCCAGCTCAGGATGCACAATGGAAAGCAACCAGAGCATTGGGATCCCTTCATTGCGTGGGCGGCAGCTGAAGCAGCCCGTAAATCTGCAGATCCTCTGCGGCCTGGATGTCACCGGGGCCGTTGGTGCCATAGGCCAGGTGGGTACCGCTGCCCAGTTCGTTCATCGGAACTGCGCGAAGATCGACACATCTGAGGAGAAGGCTGCCTGTTCTACTGCCGTTTCGGCATTGGCAGCGCGGACATTGTTTCTCGCCACGTTTGTTACATCTGCCGCCGCCACTTGTGCTGATACTTTTGACGTCCCTGTGTTTTGTGCCCATGCTTCGTTCGAGCTGACCGGGAGTTTGGGGCTCGTCTCCACAGCAGCATCTGCTTTCCAGTTGAGCTGCGGCACAAACCAATCCCTTGCCGCCGTGCCGATAGCGCCGGCCGTCAGAAGGCTTGGGCACAAAGTGGCCCTGCTTCCTGCAGGGTCTCGTGACGTGCTTTCCTCCGAACTCTTGGCAAAGGTGAGAGCGCGGCTTCAGAAGCAGAGGGATCGAAAGGCGGAGCTGTCTGACTGCGTGTTCACTTCGTTGGTCCTTAGCCAGTTTGCGTTGAGAGGGGGGGTTCTGATCTCTGGTGCAGCTAAGAGCTGCGAAGCACCAGTGGAAAACAAGGCTACCTGTTTGACTGATGTTTCTGGTGTGCTGGCATCTTTCACTGTCACTGGGGCCTTGATTGCCTTGGTCACCTCAGAGTGTCCAGTCGCAAGAAATTTCAAGGCCCTGTGTGCGACAGATGTCTTGACCATGGTGAGTGCCATCGGCTTCCTTTTCGAGTCCGTGGGGAAGATGCTGCTGAACTGCGGAGTGCCAGGAGCAAAGGTGGACGAGCTAGTGGCCCAGGACGACGCGCTGGCAGGATATGTGTTCAACACTTAGCTTTCGCAATTCGCTGTGTGGGAGGAGGCTCTGGTGGGGCCAAGACAGCTTCCTTGTGTTTATCGCACAGGTAGAGCCAAAGGTTCTCTGCTGCATCGGGCCGCTTGGGTGTTCCTGCAGACTTTGCTGCCAAAGAGCCACAAAGCTGCTCAACAGCACGGTGGGGTAGGCTGGCTGCTCAGTACGCGCACTTCAGTTGTATGCTGTGGGCTTGCAGTTAGTCAGCAGTGCAGGAGCTTGGATGCTTAAAGCTCACACCGCCTATGCAGACAGGACATGTGGCTGATCATCTACGCCTTGTCGCTGCTGAAGCCAGGTCCTCAAAGAAGAACTGCAGCATCCCCTTATTCAGCACAAACAAAATGCATGATATGTTTGGGAGGGGATAGCTTTGCAAGTGCTGCACAAGGATTTCAAGCATGTGGGACTGAGCCTGCACCCTGAACCCGAAACTCAAAGCTCAAGGGATAGGCTGCCCAGTGGGCGGCACCTGCTGCCCCACAGCCATGGAGACCGTAGCACCCCCGTTGGCACCGGTACCGGAACACGTTCTCCATGAGTCCCTCAATGGAATCATTACGCTTGAACCTGGTGGGGCTGGCCGGTTTCCCTAGCTGCCCTAGCTCCGGTCCAGGTGTCGCAAGATACTTTCGCCTACAGCGCACGGTTGTGTGCCAGAGAGACTGGGTGTTCAGTTGGGGTCTTTGGCAAGCAATTTCATACCCAAGGGTATGTATGTATTTATGCAGTACTTTTACCACCAAGGTAGCAGTGAGGGACGGACAGTACTGTACTTGAGGCTATTGCCCGCGCACCCGATCACTCAACACCCTGCGAAGGCAACTATGTCCTGTGAGTGAGGCCCGAAAGGTGGGACCACCCCAACCATCAATGCGGGGGATAGGGTGATGTTGGGAATAGGGTCCAGCCAGTATCCCCTGCAGCTTACTTTACAGATCGTATGCATTGCTTAGTTAACGAGCTCCGGTCGGCGCAGACTTGTCCGGGTAGGCTGCGGTGGATCAAGGATGGTAGGCTGCCATTGCGAAAGCTGCTGGCGCTGCCGAAAGTTACAGCTGTCCAGCCCCGCTGCCTAGCCCTGGCCGAGGACTGTTTGTGTTGCCATGCAGCTTCCTCTCGCCATGGTGCTGCTGACCTTGGGCGGTGCTTCCAATGTCACGTCTGAGTGCTTCTTGGGCCAGATTTGTAGCATGCGATTTGTTCAGTAGGTGCCCGTCTAAGTTGTGGCGTTTGACGACAACTTGAGGCCAGCATGGGCAACTTGGCCGGCATTAGTAGTGGCGGTGTAGGTTTGTGACGGCGCGAAGCAAGGGTGAACTGAGTCATGGGAGATCACGCAGAGACCATTTCCGTGGCTGGCTCGTTTTGTGCCCAAGTCCAACCGAACCCTACGCAGAAGGTGCAGATATCTTGGAGCTCTTGAAGTGTTGAAACGACGGGATACTGAGGAGGATGGACGAGACGTCACAAAAATGCATGTGCGATGATGGCTGGAGAACTGCGGGAGTGACAGACACGGTGCATTTCTTGCAAGGTGCGCGGGGGCCTGTCAGAGTCTTTGCATCATGTGCTCGACTTGAGCCCACACAGACTTTCCTGCAGGAGTTTGCTCGCAGTACAGCTGCCGAAGCGATGCTGAATGTGTGCCCCGGCAGGAAGGGCCGCCTAAACCTTAAACCCCGAAGCCCTAAACCCTAAATTGGTTCTCATCTGGCCCTCTATGCAAGGTGTAACTTCGTAGGAAGCGGATCGCTGAGGCAGCTCTCCTTGGCATCGCGTCTGCCAGCTGCATCGTCCCAGGCCCGGTTCTCGCATGGATTGCTAACACATGGTTGGCTTCATCAAATTATATGGGATGTTTGGTTAGGGTTTAGGGTTCATGAAATTCCAGCTTGTCGACACACACCCAAAGCCCGTGCTGAAGAAGGGTTCACGAATCACGAAGTTAGAATGTTTTCGAGCGACAAGCAGGATAAAGCTCTCACTGTGCCAAGGAAGCCCGTGCACGGACTTGCTTTAGGTCTGCTCAATCAGTGGGCCACAGCAATTTCGCCACTTTGATTTCCACAGCCCTTGGAGTTTTGTCTTTTGGTGACGCAACTTCTGCCAAGGGTCTGGCGGGCACGAGCACACGGAGCCAAACTGGTTGATGGGCTAAGTTTCGACGTTTCTCCATGGGAACGTGAGTTTTTTGCATGCCCCTAACAATACCCTAGGTCCTTCAGGACTCACTACCTGACCACCCTTCGATCAGGCTGGAACTGCTACTGCGGCTGGGGCTTTGCTTGGGCCAACGCGGGCGGAGGATTCGAGACTGGGCCAAAGGAGCTCGGCAGCGCCAAGTGCATGGGTGCCTCGGCATGCAGAGCAGAGCAGCGCCTGTCCGTGTTAAGCCGAAGCATCGAGGGGTGGTGTATACTTTCTCGGTATGGACATCTCGGAAGCTGGAGCTGCTGATACTTGGCATCACGAAGTTTCGGAAGAAGTTGCACCGTGGATCCCATCAGAGCGATGTCTTCCTCCATATGAACGAATCCAACTAAGGTTCTCAAGCATGTGGCTGTGCTTTCTTCCCTTTGTGCTGCTGCTGGTCCCGTTCGGGCGGAAACGTGCCATTTGCGACCATCACAGGTGCCAGAGCTCAGATGGGCTGTCCATGCCATGTCCTGTCGGCCCTGCTCCCAGGCCCAGCTTGTGGAACGGCCTGCGCCGATGCATAGGTGTGCGACTTGATTGCATCTAGGAACAGTAGGTGCATCGCTGCTTCATGTAGCACGCATTCTTTTTGAGGCCGCATATGTGTCGTGGAGACTGCGTGATTTCTTCAGACTATGGTTGGGATGCTCTCTTAGATGATCTTGCACCTCTGCCGCACACCATGCCGCAGTGCAGGGTCCTGTTCCAGTTCTTGGAGGTTGCAAGCCATATAAGACATAAGAGCTGGGTGCCGAACCGTTGAAGGCTTGGAGTGTGTTTGCCTTTGAGCTCATGGCTTGGGCCTATGCCTTCTCTGTGCCTTGGTCTTTCTAAATGATGGCTTCGCTGCCGGTTGAGATGTTGCTTTGTCTGATGCGCTTCAGACAAAACATCATGCTGGCCATGGTGACAGGGAAAACATATCATGCTGGACGCAATCTCATGCGTCGGTGCTTCGTGCTCTTGATCAGTCAACAGGCCGTTGTTTACGTGATCGTGCTCTTCATGTGGTCAGTGGTCCTGTGGTGTCTTGGGCAGCACGCAGTTCTGTCTACTTAGTGGCGGGGATGATTTTCCAAGAACCCACTCCCGAGAAATGGTGTCTCGCGGTGCGCACGGCCTGCCGATTCATTCTGTAAGCCGGCGGTGGGGTGAGATCGCAGAGAAATGCAGACGCGGATTGAACACGGTTGTTCTGAACTCGTCGCAGTTCGGGAGCATTCCCTGACTTGAAAGTTCAAAGACTCGCAGAGCATTCAGGAAGTGTTGCCAGATCCGAAGGACTGGTGGATTTTCACAGGGCCGGATGTGCTGGATTTGCAGAGGCTGTCTGTTATGTTGATCCTTGCCGCCGGGATGCTCGTCACTGTCGGCGCCTGCTGTGCCGACATTTGCACCAGCTGTGCTTCAGGCTGGGCCAGTGAATACTAGCGCAGAGATGAAGTGTTCTAGCACATCTCTTTGCTCTGCATGACGGAGGCTGTTCAGGCGAATGTGCAGGGGGATGTGACAGCTGCTGCTGTGATTGCTGCTTGCTGACAAGCTACCATCACCAGCCGGTCGAGGCTCGGTTACCAGGGTACATCCAAACATCTTCCGCCTTTCAGGGTGACGGGATGTGGCGGCTTTGTACCCAGTTTTAAGGCATGGGGGAAGCCTAAATAATTAGCAGGATCCTTATTACACATAAGGACCCCCGAAACCAGGTGCCCCCCTAGTTTTCTCTTCTGAAACTCTCACGTGCGATTGCTTGAAGGGTTTTCGATGGCCAGGCAGACGTGTTCTACTTCTCGGGTACCTTCCCGACAGATCACTATTGGGCAACGGGTGGAGCCTTAGCCTGCAGCTTCGATCACTCGTAACCTAAACTCTAAACCTCTAAACCCTAAACCCCTAAACCCTGAGCCCTAAACCCGCTGGCAGCATTCCACAAGTCAGGATTCTCCAGGAGCTCGGACGGCGCTGGCTGCTGCTGCGACTGCAGAGCGATTTGTTTTCCCTTGGCTTGGCTTTTCTATGTCTTCCCGGTGGGGCGCGTGTTGCAGATGTTCATGTGCACAATTACCAGCCCACCGTGCCGGGTGTAGCTGAACACGTGTGGAGGCTCTGCCCGAAAATGCTTGGGGCGGCTTGGTGGGGCATCTCGCCAGGGACGCATCAGATCGGAGACCTGCGCACAAGCGGTCAGGATGCCTTAGCCGCGAAGTCTAAACTCGCCGGACTGACCTTGCAGCTCTGCGCATCAAATGCCGTGTCCGATTGACTATGACTGACTTCTGACCAGGTATTTCATCATGGGCACACACCAGCACACACCTGTCGAGCGCATGTATTCGGGTGGCAATCGCTTCATCGAGTTCATGCGTATGGGTTGGCGGCGACATTCTGATCTGCATCATGATGAGGACTTCAGAAGCACTGCTTGCCAATGTCTTGCCACTGGGTGGCGCCGAGACAGGTAGGCAACCAGACAGACGGAGACAGAGACAGACAAGATTGCAGACAGACAGGCGGATGCAGACGGCCACTCGCCATTTTCCTATAATTCCTCAGAACCATGCAAGCTTTGACATCTCTTTTCTTCCCCACGCACTTCCGAAGCGAATTCCGAGCTGACTTTGCGACGTGAAGCCACGACCGATCGAGGCTGCCACCACAACAGCTCCAGCCCAGAGTAATCCCCGGCCAAGGAAAGCCACCCCCCCATGGCATGGAGATTACAGTACTGAAGAAGGTTCGCGATTTTGCCAAACCTCGACCTCAAAATTTGCTTTATGCCATGGCGGCAAAGACAGGCCTTGGCAACTGATTTTGCATAACTTGTCCGTTTATATCCCCAGGACCAGGAACCAAACGATGCTCAAGCCAACACCCCAACGGATGTTCAGTTACTCAATGCAGATTTCGTTACTCTACCTGGTCAGAACAGCAGGGAGAGGGCACACTGGCTGAGGACTCGTTGACAGGATGAATCCCAGGATGAAGGGACAAACAGGCTCACGGAATGTTACCGATCAGAAACCCTCAGAAGACTTGTGGCTGGAAGTTTCGTAGAGGCGGCATTTCCAACGAGTTCATCTGTCTTCTGCAGCTTCCTTGCATGACGCGGCGGCTCATGTGTCTAGGACCTCGAGAAGCTAGTTGTGCTTTGCAGGACTGGCGGGCACGGGTGTATGATTTCCTGGCAGGGCCAGGGGAGCAGTCTCCGGCCGCCCCGGCCACGCTGGAGGCTTGTCCACAAATTAGGAGGCTGCTTGATATTTTGTATCCTGCAAAGGTCGCTTTCGATTTTCGATGTGCGTCTGAAGGTGCCGAACCGTCCTCAAGACGAGCAAGCTCGCCTTCTCAATGAGTTTCTGGAAGACGGAAAGCAGGCCGGGCAAAGACAGAGACATGCCTTCTTTCTCAGGTTTTGACGCGTGGTGTCCGTCTGCGTTCGCGGGAATTCGGAATGCAGCTCTTCTCTCAGGTGCTGCGAATTGGATTGGCTCGAGCCGTGATCCTGGGAAGACACTTCGACAAGTTCCACGATCGTTGTGTGCAGTCTTCCTTTGAAGACTACGCTGAGAGCCTGGGACAGAAGTCTATGCGAGCAGTGCAGGCGCAAGAGTTTGATTTCGGTGGGTGGACGGCTGCATGTGTTCAGGAATTCGTGTTGGATTTGCCGCGAACACCGTGGAGAATGGGACTTGTGGCTATCCTGCCACCACCTTTTCTGCTCAAGTTGTTCAAGCCAGATGCTGATCCGGCGAATGCCTTGTCCGCTCTGCCGCGTAGCCTCCTCAACGGTTCTGCGAGGTGCCTGGCCAAGTAGGGTGTGGGATCAGAAGATGCCTTTGCTTCTCCTTCAAGCTCCACACTACTGACAAAGGTCTAGCACTGCCGAGAAGAAGTTTAACTGTGCCCGCAGTCTCCCCGGAGCCGGAGGCATCTGACTGGGTTGCCAGACTCCTAGAGGCTAACCTTAGCCAGCTATGCAGCCCAGTTTTCAGTTCCCAGAACCTGTGTTTCAGAACCGTCTGTGACAGCATTGCTGAGTTATTTCACGGTCAGCACGTCGCCGCAGGTGACAATCCGACCGAGTGGCTCGAATGGCCTGCGCTTGCCCATTCCGGCAGTCGCAACACGCGCCGTTTCTAAAGGCGAGCATGCACTTGAATGAACTTAGAGAAGATAGGTGCGAAGCGTGGAAGTTGGAGTCCAGAAGTGATGCTCTGTGGGAAGGTGCATCTAGCGCCCAGCCGGTGCAACGAAGAGATGACACTCCCACAGATGCTGTGACTTGGTGAAGGGTCTTCGGCATCGTAGGCAGCTGGTCGGTTTCCGTTTCTTGTTCTAACAAGAAAAATCATGTGATTGAAAAGCGACTGCAGGCCCCACCTCTGCCTGGACCCGGCGGGCAAGATGAGCAGGTTGGACTCTGGGATGGGTGGCCGTCTTGACAGTTTAAAGTTCGCTCTGTATTTCACGATCAGGCGGCAAGAACGCTGCGCGCACTGGAGCTGCCGTCATGGACCCAGCGTCCAAGATTCAAGAAGTCGCGTGCGTTATAAGCAGCTTTGGCTGTCTGCGGCTGGTCAAGCCTCGCACAAGGCTTCTGCCACCAAGTGCTGGAGGAGCAGAGAGGCCAAAGGCGGGCTTGGCATTTCGCGTGCATGCGACGAGAAACTTTCAGAGAGGGCACAATCGAGCAGGCGCCTCCTCTTCCCAGTGCTACGGCAGTGGACAGGCCAAAGGCAGCTTTGGTGATTTCTCTGTGGTTGTGCGTGGTTCCATTCTGCCTGCAAGCGAGCGCGAATGCTTCCGTGAAGGCGCCTGCCCTGCCGCTCGCCCCGATCACAGCTCCGCCGTCAGTGCCTTACCAAATCTTATCGAGAATGTGCTTGAGTGCCGGACGTACGTAATCTGGGCAACCTGCTAGATTCAGGCCGCCATTGCGGAATGTTCCGCCAGCGGTGACCACGGCTTGTTGCTGCGAGTTGTGTGCACAATTAAGCGGCGAGTCATACAGCGCTAAGTCGCTTCTGTGCCAGGAACCTGTGGAAAACAGTCAGCTACCAAAGCAAGTGGCACTTCTTCCCGCCACGATCATGTTGACGACTGAGCACGGTCATGGTTGGGCGCAGCATGCCGGAGCAATTTAAGTTGGATGGTTTGTGCAGGTCTGCGCCACCTCTGGATGCACGTCTGGTCTCTCATCTGTTTGAGGGAGATGCAGAAGGCAGCGGCCTCTCAACCAGAGAACTCCTGCTACGGACCTCCTCTGGATTCAAGAAGTTGACATGTAGCATCGCAATTTTGTGCCTCCGAACCTTCGAAGGTTTGGTGCCAGAAGCAGCACATGGAACCCGAGAGGGTGATCAAATGGCAGCTCGAAAGAGCTTGCAGGCCGCTCTGGAATCCGCGCCGCAATGACAATATCCACTTGACCCCTGTCGTCACACGAGGCTGGCGATGCAGCTGTGCTAGAAAGCACTCTGCGGCTGCGGTACCGTACGATGCCAGGGCAGCGTCGCATCACGGGTTTCTCCACCAGCACAGCAGGAGCTGCATACCTTGCATGCCGCCACGCGCAGGCCAGGCCGGCAAGATTGCGGCAAAGACGTCATGTTTCCTAGAATGTTAGTGGCCGGAAGGCATCAGAACCGATAGAGCCCGTCTGTGGCGTGGCTCCACTGTCCAGTAGGACATGCTCAGCAGTCGCACAAGACATCTCTTCTTTCTGCAAGGTGCTTATTGTGGCATTCTGGCGCTCAGGAAATTTCAGGAATATATCGGGGTTCCTGGTTCGCCAGCGAAAAGCATTATTCATTTAAAGGGCTGAATTCCGGAAAGCGCGTCTCTGCGCCTGCGATTGAAGGCGCCCCGGCTGGAGACACAGCTCCGAAATGAACCTTGCCTGTGAATTATTCACAGATTCTTTTTCAATCTACGTTTTTTAAAGAGGCCTATGCAGTACGTGTTGAACACACCCATTATGTGCTTTGTGATCCTGTTTGTCCCAACCTGGCTTTCCAAGGACTTCAGTTGTTCGGCAGACTCCGAGGCTGAGCCTCCAGACTGCCATCATACGGTCTGAGTGTCAAAAGGGGCTTACAGGGTTTTGAAGAGGTTTAGAGGGTTTAGGGTGAGTCGCCGGAAAGCATCAGAGCACTCCCGTGAACTGGAATTGTGCAAGCCGCACACCCGGCCGAGGAAGGCGTGCCTGTCGGAGTGGAAGTCTGGAGATCTGCAGGCTGTGTTGAAGTCTGCTCCTGACTGCAAGGCCATGCCTCAGGGTGCAAGGGAAGTCACGATGAGCCTGTCAGTGCTGTGCTGAGTAGGAAGCAGAGCATGAAGCAGGATGGAGCCACATCGGTGCACCGCCTGGAGTATGCTTCGAGAGCTGGGCAGCCACAGGTGCTCTCTGGTTTCAGACGTATCCATGGCTTTGACACGAGTACCCGCCTGAGCTGAAGACCAGCCATGAAAGGGCATGTTCTCATGTCCAAGGTGTAATGCGCGTTATTGCTGCTTTGAGGCACTGCTGGCTGGCTGATTCTTCGTTCTGCGCGCACAACTCATGATGCAGCAGTCAGAGCCCTGGCTGCGGCCTCGTCCTGACCTTAGCAAGTCCCGGATATTGTCCCAGCCTTCCGACGAGCCTCCCGACATGGACATCTGCGAATCAGGCAGCGAAGTCCTGGACCGCCCGCGGGCCGATTGATTCCCAGGCCTCTTCCGGGCAGCCGCCGTTTGCCAGGTTGGCGCACAAGTACGGGTGGCTTGCTTTTTTCCGACAGAAAACATGGCACGGCAGCCCAGTCGGTGCACACCTAGATTGGTTAGGAGGAGGCACCACCAGTGTGCCGCAGCTGCCTCGGGCTGTGCGAGACTCCACGAGCCTTTTTTGACGATGAAAAGTATTCGTGAAGAGAGGCGCGCGCAGCAAGCTCTTGCCAGTCAACATCATGCGCTTCATTTAGCTTCGGACGTCGGCAGTCGTAACCTAGCCTGTCTGTCCTGAGCGTAAGTGCCGAAGAATCCGAAACCGAGGCATCGTGACAAGATCTTGGTTTCCGCTATTGCCGAGGAAATGTCCGATACCCAGGAGCTTCAAAACCCCCGAGTTGACGGATGTGCGAGACTAGGACCCGGGTTTGCAAGCTATGTAAGCTGTGCTGCTGTTCTGTTTGATGGCTTAGAGTCTTGGATTCAGATTCTGTGCCAGTAATCTTGGGTGTGTGCCAATCGATAGACGCAGACCCGTCCCTTTGCCTGTGCTCGGGGCTTGCGCTGCGGCCTCGACCCGCTGAACGGAAATCGCCTGCAGAAACCCTCAGCCTCCAAAACCCCCTTTGACTTCCATTATTTCTACCACTACGTACTGATCTGATAATTATCACTATCCTTACTGGTATTAACTGTTACTATTATAACTATTATGTTTTTTTACTGCTGTCATCCCGCCCTTTCATTGACCGAGGCGGCCGAGGCTCGCCGAGTTTCGCCCGCAGGCCGCCTTTTATAGGGGGCTTTCAGTGCGTTTAGGGCTGGCTGATCTGGAGCGGGAGGGTGGCACGCCATGTCCAAAACGCGGCCCATCTTCTGTCAACACTGCTCTTTTCGCCACCCCGATCAGTTGCAAGGCTTAGGGTGGTGCCTTCGGCTTCTGAACCAGGATTCCTTCAGCCCTAATCCCTAAAGCTTTGGCGTTGGATTTAAACCCCTTTCAGAGCTCGGCCTGGGACTTCACACAATGAGCGTACTCCAAAAACCTTACAAGAAGTCTAAGGAGCCTAGAGGGGAGTCATAAGTAATGAGTCCCAGAATCCCTGAACCCTAACCCCTCATCCATACGATTTAAGAGACCCCGTCCTTAAAGCTCTACACCCTGAATTCCAAAAACGGACAGGGTCTGGCGACGACGGTGTATGCTCTCGGCATCCTAAAGGTGGCGCCCAGCGCGCTGCTCCGTGCAGTAGGCTCCCCGGCAAAGATCTGTTGTGAGTTGCCGGCCCTGAGGTGTAGGGTTTTAAGTCTGGGTTCAAGGTCTAGGGCTTTATGGCTCAGGGTCTAGGTTTTTATTTTCCCAAAGGTTCATGTTTCTGTTGGGTGGGTTTAGAATCTGAGATTTACGGTCGCTTTTACGTTTGGGGCTTCCTGCTGTAGCCGTACGGTACGACCGAACCGATGCTCGACTTGTCGGGTCATTTACACCCCTTGCAGCGACTGCTCCTTTAAGCCTTTACTACACCGGCACCCCGTCAGCCGACACCTTAAACACACCAAGCCCTAGGACACGTCTAGGATACTCTTTCCAACGTTTTGCCAACGTTGCTGAGAGTAGCCTATGTGCTGATCGCTCTGGTACTTGGATCCTCGCCTGCTTGTCTAGTTGTGAGTGCTGAAACACACCAAGCCCAACAGCCTAAAGTGGAAGCCAGAAAGTTGGAACGTCATTATCCTGGTGACTTTACGGTTAGTTGTAAGGGATCCTAGCACGAATCATCCTAAATCCATGTTCCAACTTTCTGGGGTTCGCTATAGACCAACTTGGTAAAGTCTAAGTTGACCGAGCTGACAGTTAATACATTTTGGTTTGTGGTCGGATCCGATTCTGGCCAGGTCGGTATGTGCCAGGTCGATTCCATGAGTTCTGCGAGCAAGAGGTGGGACAAGCCGTAGCTTGGAGTGTAGGGTCTTCTGGGTTCAGGGCTGGAGGGCTTTAGGTTTTTGGTGTTTTTGTTTGAGGATTGGGGATTGTAGGGTTGGGGGTTCCGGGTCTAAGGTCGAAAGACTTCGAGATCCTCCACCCTAAGTTCATGAAGGGTCCGGCGTCTTTGCTTCTTGAACGATGGTGGTAGTGATGAAGATGAAACGATGACCTGGAAGCAATGCAACGCTAAGCCTCATGTTTCCACCAGTTCTCACCTAGATCACGAGGGCTCTTGACTGCTACTGCTAATGTGTGTTGGAGAGTCCGAGGGAACTTGGATGTAAGGCTTCACTCGTAGACGTGGGTTTTGGGCTTCTGGTCGAGGGAAGGCCTTTAGAGAGGTTTCGGAGTGAGGCTCAATTCTCTTCTTTATCTGCAACCTGCCCCTCAGACGCGAGAGGTGACAAACACCATCTACGGCATGGCCTTGTTGCGGTGGCGTCAGCCCAGCATGGATCCTAGCTGCAGAGCCGGCACATTGGCTTTCAAGCTTCGATGCCCCAATCCCGAAACCAAACCCACAATCCGGCGCCCAACCCCTAAACCCTGAACCCCTAACCAGCTTGTCACCCATCTGAATGAATTTGCTTTCGTTGCCAAACCCCACATGCAGCCATACAAAACCGTTTAAAGCCAAATATGACAAGGCATTTCAAAACACACAGAAAGCCTCATAAACAACCAAGATGAACCAGCTGCAATCCTGCAGCACTTTTATGAAACCCTGCAAAATCTTGTTAAACCGTTGCATAACCAGCCCATATGACACCCGACAAAATCCATATACCTACGGCTGAGGCTTTCTGGCTGCTTGCTGCCAGCATGCACGGCTCCGAGACACCTTTGCTGGAATATATGGCCCCCGGTGATTGTAACTCTCGGGCAAGCATCCCACAAATTCCCAGAATCTCAGAGTTGGTTTTTCCAGGTTCAGGGTTTGCGGCTTGAAAGGTTTAGTGATGTGCCACATACAGGCTACTGAGTTACTGTGTAGAGTGTAGAGCTGTTGTAATCCTGGGGCATGCTTTTCGCAGTTCAGACTCCGTAGCGTGGTACTTGGCGGTAGCAGTGTTTCGTGACAGTGACTGTTGATACCTGGCCTGGCTAGATTCTACTAGATGGTGAACACGAATCCGTGATACTCAGGGTTGCTGGCGATCTTGTTCAATCTTGTTCATACTCTTGCAAACGAATATATTATAATATTCTTTTGCAAATAAATGCGCACGCAGATTTATGTATGCAGGCATGTATGCAGATAGGTTATGTATGTATGTATTTCCCTAAACCCTAAACCCGTGGTCCTCGCCTGATCTCGTCGAGTGCGAGTGCTTAAAAAGTGCTACATGCCAAAGCTGAAGAGGTCCAAGAGCAGCTTCCGGACGCCACGCCCCGAGGTATGTGGGGCACTTGGCTTCTCAGAACACCGGTGTCGCATTTTGTTTAGAGCTTAGGGTTGTGCTTTCAGGGCTTTGGGGTACTAAAGTCTGGTATAATTCAATGCAGGACGTCAGGGTTGAGCTTGGGGACTATGAGAGCCAGGTCCTGCGTTGTCTACAGCCTGGCGTTGCTGGAGTTCCACGAGGTCACAGGGCGTAGCCCGGGGGTCAGTGATGTTTCAGGGTCACGGCAGTTCAACAGGCAGGGAAAAAGAGTGCAAAACGGTATTTCTCGCAGGCATTATCACTCGAGCACGATTCTCGTCAGGCTCGCCTTAGGCATCACCCGACAAAGCCGCTCTAACCCCTTAGGTTCCTAAATGAATTCTTCGGGGTTCCTGTCGGAGCTCAGTCGCGCGAGAGATTGTGAAAAGGTGTAGGCACAGTCTGCAAACCCTAAACCCTAAACCGTAGCTCGAGTTTGCCCCTCTACAATCTTCAGTTCGGACGATTTCCCTGCGGTCCGACGCGGGTGGCAAAAGCCGTGGCCCGTAGATCAAGATCGGAGTTCTTGTTCGAACACCTGGAGGACGAGTTCTACAGCCGGGTCTGCGAGCAATTTCAGCACAAGCTAGCGGCATCTGTCGCGCAGGACCTGCAGCTAAGTAAGGTTGTAGTGATAATAATTCATCATAGGAAGACGATAGTAAGAAGGACGCAGATCGATTTATTGATGTTGTCAGCGGCTTGATAAGGCGTGAGCCTCCTTAATAAGGACTCACGAAGAGGTTGCACTTGGTTCAGTGTCGATGTAGACCCTTGACTTAGTGCCATGGATGCGACTGGGCAGGAGGCAAAAACAGCCGTGAATCTTACACCCTGAAGCCCCAACCCCTGAACCCTAAACCCTGAATCGAGAGAAGCTTGACATAGTTGCACGCCGACTGCGCTCGATAGACCTCGCCTGGATTGCCCGAGTTGGCTGCATCCTCTAAACCCTAAGCTGCGAAGAGTTGTGCCGGAGACTTGTGCAGAGCTTCCCGAACTGGGTCTCTTGAGACTTTTGAGCGGTGGTAAGATGCTGTAGGCTGTCCAAACCGTCTGCCTAAGGGCTCGAAGTGAGGACACACTGGCTGCCAGACCCCGACAGTTCGGAGCCTTTCTCCGATGACAACCCAAAAGCGGGTCATGTCGGGCACGCGACTGCAGGACATTTCCAACGCTGTGCCCAGTCCTCGGTTTTTGTGACTGACTCCGACGTCGAAAGAAGCACAGAGGGCCTCTCCGAACATGCGCTGCCGGATCTGCTCGTCTTGGTGTTAGGTGCAGAAAGCACAGATAATGATCAGATTATGCTTATGTACCATTTTTTATAATAATTAGTATACTCATTGTCATCACCTGACTCTCAGTTTTGGGCCGAACGTCCAAGCTCGAACACTTTGCTCTTGGACCTAGGCTTCTGCAAGGTCAATGAGGTGGTTTAGGTCCGACACACTGAATCCGATACCCCAAACATGGGGGTTTAGAGGGTGGCCGACTTCCCAGCTAATGATCAGAGCCTGGATTCAAAAAAGGGGTGTCTTGTTTTAGGTTTAGGGTTGAGGGGCATATATGCATAGCCTGGCATGTTGCGGGCCCGGCAACCCCCAGCCCAGGTATGGCCTAGCCCTACTTGGCACCGTACAGTCGGGCTTCCTGGCAGCCGTCGCAGCAGAGATGCCACGTGCGCCCAAGCTCCATCTTTGTTCCTTGCATGGGGGTTTAGCCTGTAAAGCTGGTGTTGTCTGAGTGCGAGTGTCAAACAGCCTAAACCCTGAAAGGGTTCAAGGTCTCGGATTTGGAGGGCCATGAATGCGGATTCCAGGAGCTCTGTTCACCATGCTTCTGGGCTTAGCATGTACAGTCCACCCGTAGCGGACAACAAGAGAACCTTCAGACCTTTACATAATTCAAGCGCCTTTCATGAAAGCAATGACGTCCCCATCCCAAGCCCTAAAATCTTGAACCCCAGGTTGAATCCCGCGTTTTTTTGGTTCCGAAGCCCATAGCCCTAAGCCCAGAGAGTAACGGCTTTCAGACAGACCCTAGACTCTAGACCCATCGGCGCGCTATTCTGGGGGAGCCAGGGCGCCTTGAAGAGTTCACCGGCCAAGGTCGCGAGAAGGAGTTTACAAAGTTACTGGCTTGAGGTTTAAGAAAAATTGAAAGGGTTTAGTGTAAGGCCTTCGGGGTGTAGGGTTTAGGATAGCTATACGACGGGATTTTTATTCTTCGGGTTTGAGGGCTTCAAGGGTCTAGGGGTAGTTACATTTCATTTTTCAGGGGCTTCGCGGTTAAGGGTGGTTGTAAATTGCTGATCACAGATGCCACCTTCGGGCTTGGGCCTGAAGGGTCCCGGGTAGTTGAAGGACGAGATGTAATGTTGGAGTCCAGGGCCCATGCGGTGGCAGGGTTCAGGATAGTTGCAGAGGCGGCTTTCAGGCTTTGAAGAAACTGCGACCTCTGAAGCGAGCTTTGCTCACCTGGGGTCTGCATTCATATTTTACGGCCTTGGGTATCTTCAAGCCGTCGCACGAGGTTGAGGGATGTTGAGGGTCTCTTGCGGAGGAGCTTGGGCTATGGGTTTGGTCTGCTGAGGAAATTTAGGGTGAAGGGCTTGGCTTTTGCATTCCCCCTACCGCGTCCGCAATCGCCGTAGATAGTTTTCTTTGGTGAGGCAGAGCAGTTGAGTCGTCCCTGTAGGCTGCAGTGTCATTGTCCCCTCCGTTGAACATGTGCAGGAGCTGTCTTTGATTCCAACTTATAGTTTTTGGGTTTCGCTTTGGACCGCGGTTGACTATTAATGTGCTTCGGTTGAAGGCCATGTTGGAGACAGCTTACTTGGCTGCCATGTCATCATGCCATTCGCGCGGGCTGAGGATTGAGATGCTGCAGAACTAAACTTTTATCGTTGCGGCCTGATGCCGTTACTATTGTTGTGGCTAGTGAGTTCTCCTCCTTGTCGCGTTTCAGCTCTGCTCCTGTTGTCTGCTCCCGTTCTGACTGCCTGTCTGATTGTCATCATGGCAGGATCCAGCCATTATACGGTCTAACAGAATAGCTCTGATTGCGTCAGCCACAGGTTTGTCCAACGTGGTGCTGCTGGCTTGGTTACTACTTGCATAACCAGAACCATTGTTCTATTCCGCTACTTGCCAGGCTTAAGATACAGTTGTCGTCATACTTCCTGAATACCATCGTATTTTCCGGGACTCTCTGCAACTGAGGAAGTCTGTAAAGCTGACCCAGTCGAGCGCGAGGGCCAAAAAGCCTGTAAAGCTGAAGCCGAGATACCGGAGTTACATGTAGGTCGTCGTCGTCGTCGTCGTAGTAGTAGTAGTTGTAGTAGTAGTTGTTGTTGTTGTTGTTGTTGTTGTTGTTGTAGCGGTAGTAGTAGTAGCAGCAGCAGGAGCACCCTTGGTTTGTACTCTCGGGGCTGTCCTGTTTACCGGTTTTCAATGTCATCTCACCGACTGAACACACGACAGCTATATGGCTACAGCGTGCTGGACCAAAGGCATCGGATCCCAGGGGTTCTTCCTTGTGGATCGCCGCATTTCCGGCCGTAGAGTTTCGGAAAAAGGGCCGAGGGTGTGGCATTCTTACCGTTTGGAGCTTTTCGGAGCTTTGGGCCTAGTTGGGTTTCGAGACGTCGGATTCCTGGCTCAGGAGCATTGATTTGAATTCGCAAGCGGCATCCTTTTCAAAGGGTTCCCAGCTCTCCCCGGAAAGTCCCGTGATTACTAGATTAGAATCCCTATGCCAACAAACTGTTTCGACTTTTCTGGCATTCCTTTGGAAGGCCGGCTGGTTCCTAGTTTCTGGCGGCCATTGTTGAGATCACCGCTGTACGAGGGTCTTGGAGAGTGCTCTAGACTGTGTCGGGAGGTGATTTTTGTGGTTTACGATGCCTGAACCGATGAAAACAAAGGAAGGCACCCTGTCCCGGAATCCTAGGATAGGACCCTTCAAAAAGTCGTGGGGGGAAAAGCCATGTCGAGACAAGCAAAGTTGCAAGTGTACTGATTGCTGCTGGTACTGGTCAGTGCAACGGCAATAATCAATTTTAGACCCCCCCTACAATGTGGGCTCGTCCTTGCTAAGTAGGAGGGAAAAACCATTTAACCCTGAAGGGAAACAGCCCCAAAAACAGACTCCGAAGCTGGATCCTCCCCAGCCTCAGATACCCGTCGCTTCTCCGAGCTCTCACGTCGCACCTTCCATCGCGCTTCGACGATCTGACGGACTGAAAGGGAGACTTTGGAGTTGGTGGTTTAGGGTTTAGTGTGTTTGGCCCAGGTAAACAAGAGGTTTTTGGCGTACGGTTTCCGGCTGTTTGGAGTTGCTGCGTTCATTTCCGTTCTACCCGGGTCTTGACGCTGGCTAGCTGAGAGCTCCAGTGTTCGGCTATCGCTTTCAGTGCGTCGTGTCGCGCTCGCACCGACTTGATTTCTTGCAGAACTAGCTCGTGTCAACAGCTTGTGCAGAGGACTCCGAGGACTTGCGCAGGCTGATATCTCAAGGCCTTTTCTGTGAGACATCCTGCCAGACCAATACAAAACCATTAAGCACAACCCAAAGTCCTCTCATGCAGCCCTGGCAGACGCAGCCGCAGGAGCAGAACATTTCCAACATTGCCACCGGCTCAGGCGCAGTTGTGTAGACCTTCGCATCTGTGTGAGGGCCACCACCACAGGCATGCAATGGTCATGATTTTTGCAAAGCAGCAGCAACCCCATCGCCAAACCTGCACCCTGCACGTCACAAAGCTTTTAAACCCTGCGCCCGAAGCCGTAACACATAAGCCCACGGGCGACGGAAGGCCCAGAAAAGTGCGAAGAAGTAGCCGGCACTGTCTCGGAGCACGGCAATTGATCCCGGGTACCAAGGATCCTCCGCTCTCCCCCATAGAACCCATCAAGAACCGTACAGGACCATATCATTGAGTTGAGGGGGGCCAGTGGGGGAGTTGAATCCCAGCATCAAAAGATGTGTCTGGTTTGTTCCGCACTAGAGGCACTTGGGGGGCCTAGGCCTAGGATCTTCGGATTCAGGCTTTCGGGTTTAGACTGTGTTGTGGGTCCCTGCATGCCCCAACACTCGCAAATGAGGTCTGGGCATTGGGCAACCAGAACTTCGTGGATGGGGGGTCCCGCGCCCATGAAGCATTGGGCTCCCCCAGCTTTCCTTAAATCTTGGCCTGTAACTTAAAATCCGAGACCCCGAAGACCAAGAGTCTGTTAAAGTTAGATCCTAAGCCTGAAATCCCTAAGCCCCAAAACATACCACAAGCTTAAATTTCAAATCCTACAGCTACTCATGGCTGGGAAGAGGGCCTTCCGGGTTTCAGTGCATGGCTCGTTCCGGCTCAGTTGGTGTCTCCATGACTAGGTTTGTCTTGCTCGTCTAGGGCTCAGGTCCAAAGGTCCTACAATTCAAAAATTCGAGCTACAGTCTTAGAATCTAGGGCATTCGTCACTAGTCTCAGTGGCCCGATGTACTAAACCTGAGACCCTGGGGCCACTGAAGCCCCAATTGGAAGCTGAACCCCGAACCTCTGCGTTTCAAGGCCTCTGGAGGGCTGCCTGACAGGATGCCATATGGGAGTTTCAGAAGATACGGGGACCGCAATGTAGACCTTAGAACAGGGGGATCCTTAACCGAATACTTTAAATTCACATACTTTAAAAATCAATCACCTACTGTACTGCAGGGTTTTTGTGACCTTCAGCCGTCTGCCTGCATCCTCTGCACCCTCCACTTCGAAGTGACATTTTTGGCCCTGGATTCAGAAGCGCAGTTCTGCGCGGAGGGCTGTGTAGGCACCAAAGGATCCATGCTCAAACTTGGTGTGGGTCTGAGGTTCTACATTCAAGATTCTGGGATTTGTACCAAACAGTGAGGGGAACCTTCATGTAGGACAATCGGCTGGGATCTTGTATTTGGATCCTCGAAACAGGCGGCACATCCTCGGCCATGTTGCCAAGGGCACCTCTTAGCTCAAACTGTTCACACCCCTGAGCCCCAAAGTTTGGAGCCCAGACCCGAACCCCAAACCAAAAGCCCTGCCCCAAGTTTCGCCACTTCTTATGATCACGACTCTTGTTTATAAGCAGCACTCTTTCTACCACTCCGAAGTTACCCTTCCTTTCTTTTTGGTCGTCGTTCCCCGGCCAGCACACACCGGCCATGACGCCATGACGCCGGTGCCGGGCGTTGCGACGCTCTCGCAGGTGAAGGCCGGTATACCATGCAGGTCTGAACCATGAGTAATTATGGCAATGCTGTTTCTTCGGGTTCCCTACTGTTTATAGCGTGCATACATGGATGTTTGCATATGTATAATTAGTATATGGGGGCTGTCCTAAAACC